CTCTCTCTCTCTCTCTCTCTCTCTCTCTCTCTCTCTCTCTCTCTCTCCTTCCCTCCCTTCCTCCATCCCTCCCTCTCTCTCTCTCTGGGGGACATGATGAACTGATGAACGGGTACTTGTGGGTACACTCACCACCTAAGTTGGCTCATGGAAACAAACAGCTGACATTAGCATGCCTTTCTTAATTGCTTCTCCACCTATTTTCTTGAGAAAGGATCTCTTAGTGAGCCTGGAGTTTACTGTTTCAGACCTCAGCTCAACTGCCTGGGGAGTATGTACCTGAGATTAGTCTGTCACCTGTCTCCACATCAGTCCTGAAGTTACAGGTGCTCCCAACCATGTCAGGCATTTTCCCCTCAAATTTTCCTGGACTCTCAAAATCAGGTTCCCACAAACATTGCGTGAGCTCCCCAGTCCTGCACAGTAAGGGCTCTTAACATGAGGTTTGTGGTGAGTCTGAAGTAGCCCATTAATCACCAGACATTAGGCAAAGCATTGTGTGTATTTTTTTTTTTTTGTCTCTTTGGATTCTAAAGATCAGAGTCAAGTCAAACAAAAGGTGTGGGAGTGGGAGGCACCAATCCATCCCTATGGCACACTGCCAAAAGGTACCAGTCAAATATGAGCAGGTACTTCTCACCAGCCTCCATAGAGTCGATGCCCACACTGGTGTAGATGTGGTTTCCGGTGGGGGTATTTATGATCTAGGAAAATGGGTGTCAAGTGTGGAAGGACACAGGAAGGACCCCAGGGATTTCAGATGTCAGAGGTAGCTTTTGTCTAGTCTTGTTTCCATTGAGAGCTGAGCCAACAGTATGCAAACACCAAATGTAACCCGTGCAAGCATTCCTGGGCCATGGGACACAACAGTTGTCACAGTATTGAGATGTCACCATGGGAACTTTTTCTGGAGATCCCTCCTTTCATTCCTATTTCCTTTTGTTCCAAATATGAGGATTGAGAATAAAAGTTCTCATAACTTTTGAAGAAGTAAGCCATTAAGTCACTGTGCCTCCAGCCCTTGCCCTAGCAGGAGCATTAGCATCACAAATGCTCCTTATCCCAGAGTCTTACCTCCCAGGCCTAGGGAACCCTACAGTTTGTTTTCTCTTATTTTGCATCTTGTAGAGGGCAGTTTTGGACTAACAGCATTCTTGTTTCAGGAAGAACCGCTTTCTGTTATTAAACAATGCTCATTCCTGAGTACTGCAGGATCTTGCTCCTAACTTCTCCTTAAGGGACCGCTTCAAGTGTCTGCAGAATAGCCACTATGATTACGTGTTTTCTCTTCTGGGGAGCCATCCTGGAGGCCAAGACAATGTACTGGTTGTAGCATTTTTCCAGATTCACACCCTCCATCTGAATGGTTTTTAAATGCAGCTTTTCAGAATCCAGTCTTGCAGAAATCTTATAAAAACCCAAAGTCATTTAATAATATTGCATTTTAAAGCTAGATAGAGAAATATTTTATAACAGTAACAGCATTTCATATAAAAGGTAAGAAAAGGGAACCCAATAAACTAGTGATGGATCTGAACTAGAGCCTCGTTCTACATATTAGCAACTCAATTTTTTATTCTCAATACAGCACCAATACTCAGAAATTCCAATTCAAAAAGTCACAGGAACACTGGAAGTGCTATGGCTACTTTAGGAAACCTTAATCAAATATATGATAGATGCATAGATAGAGGGATATTCATTAAAAAAATCAACAACCTCCAAATTATAGAGATGAACTTGTGTACTTGCACCATATGCCAGAAGAAATTATTCAACTTATTTTGCAAGCTTGCACGGGAATAAAGTCAGCATTCAAAAATTAAAGCCAAACCAGGTCACCTTCATAAAGGCTGACGTATCAGAATGCATCAGACTTAAACTGGAAGAACTGATCTCACCTTGGGCTCCGGGAATCAGGGGTCTTTTCTATCAAAGTTCTAATCACAGGCTATGGGCATGATGGAGATTCATGATGCTGCACTGGACAAATGCAGTGATTCAGAGGGTTCTTTTTCACAAATCAAAGGATATTAATTTGCATTTATTTCCTTACAGGAGGAGGAAGTCAAGTGCTTGTGGAAATAATGTTTGAATTAAGAATAGAGAGAGGGAAGATCTAATGTCTTGAGTGGTTTGATTGGGTAGCTAAGAAATAACAAAGGAAATACTAACCACACAATCAATTACCAATGAACAAGGTCTGAGTTAAATTAACTCTGACATTTGGCTTAGAATTTTAAAAACTGTACGTAGAAAAGAAACAGTCTTATTCCCCTCATCAGACACTACTGATGTCAGTTGCGTTAAGCTGATTGCCAGCTGAAGGTGAATGACTGGCATGCACAGATGCATTTGGTCAACAGTACTTGCTACCTGGCATTATGATTCTGCCTGAGCAAAGACAGCTAGTTTTCTACAACCCTCCCTTTGCATATAGTTTTCTCTTTTAATGACAAGCAGCTCATTTTTATTAACAAATGTAATATTAGAAAATCATCCATGTTTTGCTGAACCCACACTGTATAGTTTTTAATCAAACGTATCTACACCATAGGTTCTTGTGATTGACAGGTCTGCTATCTTCTCATTTAAACTCAAGGTCCAGAAAATAGAATTTAAAGATGAGAGAGGCCAGTGAAATGCACCCAACACTCAATCAGATCTTTATGCTAATTCATCTGCTCACTTATCTCCAGCTTGACGAACAATAGCTGGCATTCATCATCACCAGCTACAGCACACGATGTGACCACCAGTGTGTCAATTAACCATGAACATAGCTCCCAATTAGTTCTGTCTACTGGTCAGAGCACAGACTTTATATGAGTAATCACCATGCTTCAAGAAAGACATTCAGACCCACTGTGTCGAGTATGTATGTTTGTGGGAGACTCATTTATGGGGGAAGGAAAGGTACTGAAAATCTGTGTGTCTGGATGAGAACAAATGTTCTGTTGAAAGATGAACAGATTCGGTAGGAATGTTTGGGTAAAATGTTTAGGGCTTGTTCCTCTACAGCTATCCTCTTTGCATTCACAGATGCTGCCATGGTATAGCTAGTTGCCAGATTTTGATGACAGTTCTCCTATGGAACATCCTAATGTTGGGGTGGATGGTGTTGGGGTGGATGGAGTGGTCCTTAAGGAGGATGGTGACTCATCTCTGAGTTATAAGTGGTCCAGTATTCTTAAATTTATGTTTTATTTGGTATGAAGAAAAAAGTCACCTAGGCTCTATTTTGAATGACCATTATCACAGATTCTAATAAACACTTCAAGCACATTCTTGTTTCTAATAAAGGAATATTGATTCACAAGATTTGGGGTTATTTAATACACACCGGGATGAAATCAATGGAACTAGCAGTCATGACTGGACTTGACCATCCGACCCATAAGGAAACTGAAAAGCAGCAGGATCGTGGTAGCTTTCTACAAGACTCTCTGTAGGTATTGAAGACAAGGTCCCCATAAAATTTTGGTACCACTTGCATCCACAGAGAGGATGCAGGAAGTCTCAAAGTCTCTGGTGAGCATCAGCAAAGCACTCACCAAGGCAAGCTCCTTGCCCTTCCAGGCACAGTACAGCACCCCCACCTTCATTCTTCAGCCAGCCAGGCAACTTCACACCCCCCAGTCCCCCGATTACAGAATGAGGTATCAGACCAAGTGAAGAGGGACATGGAACACTTTTTAATGTCAAGTCAGAGACAACCCATCCCTCCCCTATCCCCCAATCCCACTTTCCCTCATCACATCAGGAACCCTCCCCGAGGCCTCTCTGGTCCCCAGACTTCGGGGAAGGAAAAAAAAAATGGTTACCTAAAAACTGCATTTTTCTTCTCTTTCATACACACTCACACGAAGGTGGAAAGTTAAATAAAATAAAGCAAGAGGATTAAGTTCTCCAGTAGTCACAAAGGCATCAGGGATTCCCGCAATGGGCTAAAGCAAGATGTTACTGACTGTTGGTTTAGATGGTCCAGTTGCTTGCTGTCCGTTAATGCCCCGAGGTGTGATGGAGATGCCAAGCTGGCGGCCTCCGCCTCAGAGAGCCACACCTGGAAAGATGCTGCGCCTGATATTAGTTATGGTTTCTGGTGTCCTTTCCGCTTCTGAGAAATGTCTCTGACATGTAAATAACCCAAGAAAAAAAAGGAAGGAGCTGATTACACAATTACCAGTAAACTCTATCATCTTTTAGAAGATCAACACACAGCTAACGCCATATACAGCATGCAGTAATGTCTGAGAAAGGACCCTGCTGAGAAACAAAATGGCTAGAACTCTAACAAAAAAAATATATGTATATATATATTTATATATACTGTATAATATATGTCATCAAAAGAAGCATAGCCAACAAAACAAGATAGAGTGCAGATCAACCTTCCATTTCTAAGCAGTGTGTAGATAGCATAGTACTGTCTGCATGGAATGCTAGAATGAGGAGTCTGTAGCGCTGGTGGAGGTGTTTGTTAAATCACATGTGTTTCTGGTGGATTTGCCAAAGCCCCACCAGGTGGTTAGTACCTGGTGCGTGGCCCACCAGTTGTAAACCTAGGTAAAAAGTACACTATTTGCTTTGCTTAATAAACACGCTTCTCTTCACCCCTCTCCTGTATGTTTTTAGTTTTGTCTCTCGCTTATGCACTAAGTTCTAGACTCATATCAGAAAATATAATTAATAAAATTAATAATGACTCAGAATCCCTTATTATCCATGATGTCCATGTAGTAAAATGAAAAACAAAAGCTTAACGATATATTTTGTGACTGTCGCGTTTGTGGGATTATGGTGCTGTCAGGCTGTCTTGTTTCCTTTTCTTTCTTTCTTTCTTTCTTTTTTTTTTGTTGCTGTTGTCTTTTGTTTTTTCTTCTGATTTCACACTTCATGACACATGCCACCATGGCGCAGCCCACCAAAGGGCCCTCCGCGGCACATCTGGGCCCCTGCTTCTCACTCTGTGCTTGTCTCTACGGACCGATGGAATTTGGGATGGCCGACTCCAGAATGTTCCATGGTGGGGCACTTTAGTGGGCAGAGTGGCTGAGCCCTTGCCCACCCTGGCAACAAGAGAGGTCACACAGTGCAGCTTGTGGGTGGGTCCAAGCCAGGTGTGCCTTCTTCCCATTTGGGAAAAGAAAGAAAACTCAGTGGTACCTAAATATCTGCAAGGCAATTTTCAAATTTTTCCTTTTGTAAAACTTTTTTTTTGTTGCTTTCCCACGGTATTCTTTGTTCCCCTCCCTCGAATTTCTGTCCCATTGGCCGTGATTCTCTGAATTTCGTTTGATGCTGACTCGCTGTGTCGCTGTGCTGTCGTTGCATTGAGATGGAGTGGCAGCAGCTCTCCCCAGCAGGGAAGGGACACTCACATCAAAATTTGAGGAGCAGGTGTAAGACCAGGAGAGGGAGGAGCCAAATGCAGCCTTCCCTCCTTGATGACCCATTGCTCACTTCACTGACAGCGCCGGGGCCTGTGGAGAGAACACATATGTCATGAGCTACTTGCTGCAAGATGGGAAAAGTCCTCAGCAGTCACTTGGTCAGGTGTCACTTCTACCGAGCTTCCCTCTAGGATGAACATCTGGCGTTCCAACAATGGAAATGCTCCCAGACTCTCAAATCGGCACTCAGTGTGCAAAGCGGTAGCCTTCCCTGGCAAACAGAGAAGGCTCTGTCGAATCATCATTTGCCCATGGCATAACATGCTTCACTAACATCAAATCCTTGATCTCCTGGCTACTCGCCTCGTCACTCATCCATCCCCTTCTGCAATTCGACTGCCTCAAACATTTACAGAACCTACAGGCAATACAGCTTGTTCAGAAAAGGACCTGTTGGACCCTACAGTCTGTCTGCTCACTGCTGTCCCCCACAACAATGTGAATCTCTCAGTCTTGGGGTGGTGCTGGGATTCCCCTGGACTCCTTGGCCTCTTTCCCACCTGGTTGAGGTAACACCAGACTTTCACTCAAGTGTCTGACTGGCCCAAACCAGCTCACACCAGCTAGAGAGTGGACTAAGTAAGGAAGAAGACCATGTGCTGGGTGGACCAGGATGCAACTGGGGATGAATGTGGACAGTGGTGTGTAGCATCCACTTCAGAGGATGGCTACCGGGAGGGAAGTTTCCCTTTGAGGCACTCATTCACCTGGTTTACAAATAGACACCCTTTGCCAAACATGAGAGGCAAGAGCACTAAGTCCAAAGTGGTAAAACTCCCGAGTGGCTTCCCTGTTGTTGCAGACAAACTTCTGGGCTACTTTGGCTCTTGGGTCCAAGGATTGCCATGAAAAAGGAAGTGATGATTCCGAAATAGTACATATGGTCAGAACGCAGATGCGTTCGACGATTAAGGAACAGGGACATGGCCTCTGCTAGGACCTGCTCTGATCTGCTCTGGAACCCTGAAAGGCTATTTAGCACTGGTGACCATACTCTGTCCCTGTCCTCACCCGAACACTGCCAGCCCCTGATCTCCTGCCGCGGGAGCTCAGCACTGTGGTCACTTCAGATGAAATCAGACCAGATTCCACCAGACTTCCCGATTGCATGTGGGATCAGTCTGTCAAGTCCCAGAATCTCTGACCTAACTACTGCCCATATGATTACATTTCTTGCTCCTTTAGGTCAGCAGCTGTTAATGTTACATCAGCAAGGTCACAGCAGTCACACATCGGGGACATTTTGGCAATGTTAAATTGTCATGCTGAAAAGCCCAGGGAACCCTGTTCTGCTCTGTGTCTGACAGGAGGTGATCCAGGAGACACAAACTGGAAAGTATTCTTGTGGACACAGGTGATGAAGTATAATCATGAAAAACGGATGACTTACCTTTCAATTGCTTGTCACATAGGACTAGCCGCCAAGTGCTCCCACAGTCCTAGAACCTAGCTGCTAATTTTCCATCCAAAGCGGCACAAAGACAACTCCCTCTCTAACAGCCACTCCTTGTCTTCATGCCTTTCCTTATTCTCACGGGAGAGATGTCCCTCCTTAACTTCCCAAGGAAAGAGGCTACATTTCTATACTTTGATGATGTCTTTTCCTCTCTGCACTGCTCTGTTCTTTCCGCTTCGGCCCTTGTCTATGCTTGTGGCTGTGAGACCTTATATACAGACCATGAAAGCCGGGTTCCATTTCTCCCCTGGTAAAGTGAGTGGTCCATTCCTATTTCTACATGTGCCTTGCTCAGTGCAATTTAAAAAATGTCCTGAGTACTTAATTCGTTGGGAATCTATCAGGGTACAGACTGTAGCACGTGGCTCTCTGTGTCTTTCTCTCTCTCTCATCTCTTTTGTTCTCTGAATGCCCAGGCATTCAGCTTTATCACCCATTCCTTAATCAACCTCAGTATTTCTCACCCTCTCTGCCCAGTTACCTACCATGACCAGGAAGCTAGCTGGGGACAAAAGAGATTTGAGAAAAAATGCCAGTTCCCTGAGAACTCATGGATGCTCCTTTTCTCCTACATTTCCTCCTTTCATGATTAACTGAAGGGCAGAAACCACAAACTATTCAGAATACAGCAGTAAGAAAAGTCCATGTAAGGCCAAACACCACCTGTCCATCCTGGAGCCTCTGTACGGTGACCTGGTAGCTCTGCTGGGTACTCTCTCTGAGGTTCGTGTTCAATTACATTAGTAACCCCCACCACCACCACGCCACTCCAGAGCTCCATTGTGGCTCAGCTCTACATTGGGAAACTGTACAGGATATAGTACCAGGACAGCTCTTAAGCCCGCAAACTGTAGAAAACAGAACAGTGCCTGTGAACACATCACTTTGCTTGGAGGAAGGGTTGATTGTCTGGTGAAATTCACAGGGACTTCCCGCTGTTCTTATTCAGGTCTGAGTTACCTTGCTCAGACAGCCCACTGCCTCAACCCTATGCACACACTTTCTCCTTCCCCACCCTGTCTGTCTCTTTAGCACCTACAGGAAAACCTGACTTAGTATGAAGGAGCAGGAGACAGACAGCCCAAGGTTAAAGGCCTTTCCGTGCCTGCTGGAGGGGACACACCTGCAGTGACTCACCTCCCAAGTCACAGAGTTCACTGGCTACTGCTGCCATCAGCTGCTGGGACCTCTCACATTTATCCCCTACATTAATTTCAGAGTGAGGTTCCCACACCTCCAAATTGCTCCAGCTGAGTGCTTCAGCCTTAACAAAAACATCTGGTTCCCTGGTAGAAGGTACAGCATCACAGCTATCTGCCCCCTTAGGCTGTCTTCCTGCCATGTTTTCTTAAATATTCTTAGTCCCGGGCATGGGGGCACAGGTTCACACATAGATACAGAAACACCCACAAACGGGCACGTGCACGCACACACATGCATCACACACACACATGCACACACACGTGCACACACATGCACACACACGCATCACACACACACACGCACACACACATGCACACACACACATGCACACACACACACACATGCACACACACACACACACCACACACTGGCTGACACTTCCCCTACGTATTCTTTTTCTTTTGCAAGCTCACAGTCTCTAGCCCTTTGTCTGAAACATTCATTCTTCATTTAACTCACTGCTTTTCATTATTCCTCTGCTCTGGGCTCCGTTGGCTTCCTCCAGGCAGTATTCCTTGACTCTGTCAGTAACCTATCCATCCTACCATTAAATACACCCCCAGAATACTAATATTCTAAATTCTCCTCATTTGTCTGACATGCAGTTCCTCCTAAGTGTCACCACCAAGTAAAACTGCTTCTCCTCCTCCTCCTATCTTCTTGTTTGTTGGTTTGAGGCAGGATCTCCCGACCTTTCTCTGGCTGAATTGGAAATCTTAATCCTCTGACTCAGGACTCCAAGTTCTGGAGTCATAGCTACACACCATCATATCTGGTTTGCTACGACTTCCTAATGGCAGAGTATGTGTCTCATTGACCATAGCAGGTGTTCAGTGTTTACTGACTAAAGAAGAGACCTTTGACTTATACTGACATGTCTATGCTTGCCTCCTGCTTCTGTTTTCCTTTTTGCTAAAATTATACTTGTTTTTAAAAAATAAGTATAATAAGCAAAAAAATAAATAAATAAAAACACTTTCCCTTCTGTGTCTTCTGCTTTGTTTCAATTTCTCTTACATTTGTCTAACTCTGTCCAACAAAGTCATCCAAGGTCCCAGGACTGAGCAACTCTACCAAGAAGCAAAGTCTCATGGACCAGGAATTCAAGAGTGCTGGGGATCTATTACAGTATCTAAGGTCTGGCCCGAGGATTGCTATTTCTTTTGGAATTTTTTTTGAAACTTTACTTTCGAGAGCTCAAGCGTCTTCTCTGGTCCCTTGACTTCAGTTTTCAATCGTAATTTGCTTCCCACCAGCTCAGGTCATGTATCTTCAGGGAAGGGCGAGGTTGATAGCTAACCCAGCTGGGCACTGCTGAAGGCTGGCCTGCCCCACCCTGAGAAAATACTGAGCAAATACCAGGGGAGAGAATGCCATGGGGTGAAACTCTTTGGTCCAGGCAGGCATAGGTCACAGCCTGCTAAGAGCAAGGCCCGTTCCCAGTGGATGCTAGGGAAGTGACAGCTCATCCCATCTGTCTGGTGACACGGTCACTCAGATGAGGCATCTGTTCTTCACCCAGCCACGCCCCCACTCCACATCGGATGCCTTTATTGCCACTATCTCATTAGAGAGCAGCGGAGGCCTAAAGAGACTAATTACCGGGACAGTTAGGGTCTCGCACGACAGCGAGGAGTGTCAATTATCCATCGGAAACATCTGGCTGCCATGAAAGCCTCAAATAAGACACATTTTTATTCCTGTCCCAGTGACTCACCCAAGAACCTCCCCTTTCCTCCCAAGCCTCCCTCCCTCTCCCCATGTTCCTTCTAGCTCTGAGTTAGAGAAGGAGTGAGAAGGATAAGCAAAGGCAGCATGCAAGGCAATGGCCTGAGAAGACTGAGGCATTAGAGAGAGCTTCATGGGGGGGTAAAAAAGGCAAGCCCAGGGCCAGGGTCCCAGAATCCAGCTCTTTCGAATACGGGCAGGTGCTCATTAGTGCCGCCATAAGGGCCAGTTAAACTCGTGCAAGTGGAGCAACTCGCGTAGGGTATGACGTCATAGGGGATGGAGTTAATCTAGGCTGATGGCAAATCGCTCAAGGGTCAGAAAGAGTTTCCTCTAGGATGCTGAAGGGTGAGCTCAGAGATGGAGACATCTAGGAGGAGGCGAAGACAACTACCTACCCCATTCCCACTAAGGCATCAGCTGCCTGAGACATAAATATACAAACCTTTCCAAGGGATCAGGGCTGTAGTTTTCACTTCTAAAAAAAAAAATTAAAAACAAGCCACTGTTAAGGCAGAAAGCATCGTCAGGTGCTTACTTTGCCCTCAGATGGTCTTGGAAATAAGCCAGACTTACTGGCCTAAGAGATTTCCCCAGGCCCTTATACCTGCCTCGGGTCATACTGACCTCTGTCCATCACTCACAGCCAGGCCTTCCGCGTTTTTGTTTGTTTGTTTTGTTTTTAACTGGGAGTGAACTGGAGGCAAGGAAGAGTATGGATGACAATTACTGTGGACTGAAGCAGAGCCTGAGTCCACACTTGCTCTTACAAGACACCTACTCCTTTGGAGTCTGAGCTGCTGAGTCAAAACTTCTTCAGAGAGATGTCCACACCCTCATCCGACTACCCCGGATTCACTGAATTCTGTAGTCTTAAGAATAAAGTTGGCTGATACAGCAGGATTTATGCTACAGCAATTTGTGTGTGAGAACCCTTGCTAATCGTAAGATGTGGAAGTCTGACTCGCTTTTACCTATGTCTTGTCTTTTACAAACTCTGACAAACCAGCTCTTAGAAGAGGAGTCTTGGCCTTTAATATCTGACTTCAAGCTGGCCTAATGGGACACCCTCTCTCTGGGGTCACCGGAGACAGTGGCATCTGTAAACTGTGGGACTTTCTGTAAATACAGGAAGAGAGAGACAGCTCTGTTGACTGGATTGTGAAAGAGCCCTGTTTTCCTTACTGTATGCTCTTGGAAGAATATGCAGGGCTTTTGCAACTTTTCTGTGGATGGCTGAGAGCTTTGATGACTTGATTTGTGTAATGTATTTCTCTAGTCAAGGGCCTGTGCAGTTGCTCATCCAGATCCAGGGAGCATAAGACAATCACCAAAGCCTTGGGCCCTGAAGTGTTACTGTGGGAGCCTGTTCTTTGTCCAGAGGTGCTCACATTTGGAGAGATGGCAGTCTTCAATACAGTGCATCCTAATGGAAACCTCGGTGTTTGTGGTATGACAAATGCATATTGTGCCTCAGGCTCTGGAGCTGTTCTTTAATGGCTCCAGGCCTAGGAAACCTCCTGATTTAAGTGGCTGTTACCAACCTTAAGAAGCCCTTCTGAACACATAAAGATGTGAGAGATGAGCCAATGTTTAGTATTTGAAAAAATGACCAGGTAACGTTAAGATGGGAGAGGGAAATCAGATGTGGTGTACCCATATGACTAATCCATAGCCCTTTGGAGTACTTGCTGGGTCCTTGGAGTGGTCCAGAAGCTGAGGAGGGGCTGCTTTATGAGTCTCTGTGCCAAGAAGGACGGTGACTGGAAGGAAAGAGAGCCTGGGGAAATGTTGGGGGATAAAGAAACTATGCAGACTTTGCCTCCAGACCACAAGCAGTGTAAACATAAGGTGTCCTGTAGGTTGTTGCCTACAGAGCATTGAGGTTACTTGCTCAAATAGGGCTACGAAAGGACATAAGTAGTTCCTATGTAGATCTGAGACTATAAGGAAGGCACACATTCCTGATTTAGGAACCACACAGAAAATCAAGAAACTGTTTACACATATGTTCCCATTCATCTTCCCCAGCCCTGAATTCCTGGTGCAACCATTTGAGAAAAAAAAAATTCAATTCTTTAGCATTCCCAGGATAAAGGGCAATTTGATACTTGTTCCGACCTTATCTAGAACTCATTCTTTGGGGTCTTTTCTAGGTCCCAGTGTTTCAGCCAACTTGCTTAGTGTGCTGGGGGGAATGCAGGCCTGCTGTTCCTTCTGTAGACTATAGTCTACTTTTGTTCTAGCACGAAGAAGAGCTACTGGAGGTTTGGCACCATCCTCTCTGTCACGGTGACTTTCTGTCGTTGTGTGAACTTTGTGAGAACCTCCGAAACCAGTGGTAGCCTCAAGCTGTAGACTTTGAGTAGCATTTCAGCTATCAAGAAAAGAAACAAACAAGCCGGGCATGATTACATGATTTGAGTCCCAGCAATTGGGATGCAGAAGCAGGCAGATCTCTGTGAGTTTGAGACCAGCCTGGTCCATATAGTGAATTCCAGGTTAATCAGCAAAAAAAGAAGAGAAAGAGAAAGAGAGAGAGAGAGAGAGAGAGAGAGAGAGAGAGAGAGAGAGAAAGGAGAGGGAAAAATAGGAGAGGGAGAGATGACTCAGTGGTTGAAAGCCCTGGCTATTCTTGCAGAGAACACAGATTCAATTCTCAGTATTACAGGCAATTCATAACCACCTATACCTCTAGTTCCAGGTGATTGAACACCTTATATCACAAGGCATGCATGTGGTACATAGACATGCATGCAGGTAATATACATAAAATAAAATTTAAAATTAAAAAAGCAATTTTTGACAATCCAAGTAATTTTTTCAATCGGACCTTGACTCAAATTTAGCAGATCCTTTTGCTAATGATATATTAACATAAAGCCAGATAGGACCATAGTGATCTGGTAAAGATTAAGAAAAAGGAAAACTGAGGGAAGAGGCAAGAAAGAACAACAGAAGGGAAGAAGGGAGGGAGGGAAAGAGGGATGAAATATATATATATGAAGAATATCCTAAATCAGGTAATATTGCATATGTCTTTTCATTCCAGAAATGATAATTATGTCAGCAAAGCAGATATTCGTAAATGAATCTAAGTGCTCAGATAAGTTCAGGGCTAGCCTGTAAATCTCGCAGGAAGAAATTTGCTTCTGGGTGAATATGGTTATTCAACCCACTGCTCTAGAAAAAAAAAGATAACAGATTTTTTTCCCCATATACATGCCATAGAAATGCTGACTGCATGATGCTTTGCTAGATTGGCCTAGCTGACTATGTTGAATTCTCTGCAGGAAGACCTGATCATCTCCTTCTGATTCTTAGGAGGGGCTCTCTGCATTTGTTGCCCATTCTTTAACACTGGGAGGCTCGAGCGTATTAATAAGCCAGCATCTCTGAGCCCAGCGATACCATCAGATCTGAGCAGATTGAGGACAGAGGGCCAAGAGATGAGAGGAGAGCAGCTGCGGGGCCGCTGAGCTTGCAGCGTGGGCCAGTGTTCTTACCCGCGCAGAAGCTCGGTGAGGGAAGACGGCACAGCCCAAAGTTCTTATTTATCACTTTGAGACGCCTGCACCACCAAATATTAATACAGGAAGGTGACATGCAATCTGTTGTGTTTGCAAAAGGGAGGCAGAGAAATATGTCAGGGGTGGCAAAAATGCTGAGGAGGAACAAAATTCTCTTATCACTTCTCGTCCATTCCGATATTAGGCAGCAAGGCAGCCTCAGATTTCTATAAAGGCCAAGGGTTTCCTGTTGTAGAAATTCATACATTCCTGTAAGTCTTTCTGTAAGAAGAGCATCCCTTGGAGGTGTTCCTGGAGAAAACAGCTCTCTGGTTTGTTCTATTGGAGACCAGCCATGCTAAGAGGAAAATGAATGCAGATAAAAGACTGAAAGTGTTCAAGTGCATGGTTTGCTTCTTCTAAAATATGATGAGCTTCACAGTCTAGTCCAGTGGTTATGCTAAACGACACATGAATCTCTCAGAACATTCCAGGTTTCTGTAGTCTAAAATTTCTGCCCTAACTTACACCCAACAAGGGGGCTTTCTGAGATGAAGGGGTGAGAGGACTTCATAATGGAAGGAAACTTTCTCCCAAGTCTCATTGCACATGGCTTTGCTTTGGGGAGGTGCTTCTCCACCAATTAAATATAACTTCAATTAAGACTGGCTTGTTAGAGACCACTCCCTGAATGTGAAATGCTCCAATTTTCTCTGACAATGTAGTTCTAGTGGTCAGATTAGCTTAATAACTTATAAAAGCATCATAGGGGCATCTGTCCTATTTACTGCTGACGTTAGTGTTTCTCTAATGCTTTTTATTTTCACTCTGAATGGTGCATCATTTGGGAGTTCAAAGGCAGGAATGGCGTCACAAGTTTAGTCTGAATCCATCCATGAACTTCCCCTTTTGCTTTCCTGTTCTTTGTTTCGCTTTCCTGTTCTGACTCATCAGCAAGAGTGGATGGATGTAGCCCCACCTCTTTTTTTTTTATGATAAAAGCACTTTTCTTCACTTGTCACTTAGCTCCCCTGCAATTCATTTCTTTTTTTCCCTCCACTTCCCAGATCTAATGCTGTCTTTGGTGAGTGTTCACACAGTTATAATGCAAATGGATGAACAGAATGGGTACAGGGGAAGGGTGGGATGGGAAAGGTCAGAAGACTGTGTTGGGAGTTGGGAGTAAGGAGTTCATATTGAACTAACAAAGGAGCCAAAATAGTCATTGAAGGCTAGAACTATTGCTCTGTGGTAAAGCATTGCCTAATCTGTGAGAGGCCATGAACTTAAATATCCAGTTTTCTATCCAGACAAACAAAACAACCACTGTCCTCTAGAGTAGGACAGGGACATGTGGTGACAATTTTGCAATATATCACTCTCTCTAGGTGAGTGGACCTGGGGGAAATGGGAAGAAACACCAAGTATCCACAGAGCGGCAAGAGATAAACAAGTCATAAATAGGCAAGAGGTGAGAGTAGAAGGAGAGGTCATTGACTGGTGAGAAGAAACGAAAAAGAAAGGAAATACGGAGTGTGTCCTGTATGGAGGAAGCCCCTGTCTTTTAGCCTGTATCTGGAGACTCAAACTGCGATGCTGTGCTTCAGAGCCTTTTAAATGCTGGACACTGGAACAACTCCAAAGGACAGATTACTCCAGAGAAGATGGGAAGAAGTCCAAATGAGGTTACACGACTCGTCTAAGAACTGAGGCCTCCTCAAAGTCAGCTGTGGGCTACAGTTTTTTTTTGGTGCCTCGTCCTGAATCCTTGGGAAGCCTGTGGACCAGGAGATGGTGACATGAGTATTGTCTGAGCTTGTTGCCGAGCGACATCAACAGAACGCTGTATGTGCGATCTCAGATACCTTTGTACCGTGCTACCACTGTGGTCAGCAGGTGTATTGTCTTCTCGTTGGTTCAAATTTAGTTGCTCAAACCTTTGTCTTCATGCTGGTCTCTGGGTCTGGCATTTTTAATGATGCTTTATTTGCCTTACTAATCTCAGCCCTCCAAGACGATGTGTGCAAGGAACGGGCAGAGGAAAAGGCTCCCATGACATTTTGCCAGCTCCCAGGAGCCTCCTTTAATAACCATTGACTGCCACATTCTAAGCAACGTTACTGCTATGAATATCAGGAAATGAACATCAGGAATAGAGCGAGGGTGAAGGCAAGGGAGAGGGTGAGGGTTTTAGGATTGAGGAGAAGGGGAGGAAAACAGAAGGCAAAGGGGATACTGACCTTGCAATAAAGTTGAGCTTGTAGGCTCATTTAGTTCTAAATCGGGTGGGGGACATACAGGAGAGAAAAATGAAAACAGACACATAAATTATATACAGTCGCTATATATTTTTCATATATAGTTTGTATACTGCGTTTCACAAGCATTTCTAAACGAAAGGATAAATAAAGAAAGACACAAACCAAAGGTCATAGGACAAGGTGCAGCAAGACAAACATCGAAATGCTTTCTGTCCCTTAACAGGGATGGGATGGTGGGCAGCAAGACAGAGGACCACCCTATGTATTTTTTCAGTGCAGATGGATTTAGTCTTCTCGTCTACTGAGGTTGGGAACAAGCAAACTGCAAACAAAGAACCAAAGTTTGTTGCCAGGTAAAATTTTTCCTACCATATCTTCATCCCATTTTTTTATAGTTAAAGACGAAATCCAGCAATTTCTGATCTCATGGTACCATGATCTGAATTCAATTAGGGCTCCCTGGAGCTACTGTGATTCAGGAAGCCTTATTGGTTGTTAATGGCAAGGTCTGACCTTCTCCTATAGGACTTACGTCTCCCAAGATATAATCTTATTAGGCGTTCCTTACGCCAGATCCCTCACTTTTCAGGGCGGCATGGAAAGAATACCTTTTTATGATTTATGTGCAAGTCAATGACAAAATGACAATTATTTAGCTGGCTTTCTACAATGGTTCTGGAGAAAAACTTAATAATCATGGATGCTCTATATTCACAAAAGTAAGTGCAACTGTGCCCTCGTCTGCTTGGTGACTTCTAATGAAAATGATACAGAACATTATTCCCTGAAAAATTTGTATTTGTCAAGGAACCTCACTAATAGTGACCTTCAACTATGAACTTGGGAACCACAGTAGTGTCTGGGCTAGACCTGGTTGGGGATGAGGGGTGGAAAATACTCATCGTAAACATGATTGGGATTTCACCAGTTCTTTAGAAGAATGGTGGCCATGCAGATCTATGGTGACAGGTTCCTCAGGAATAGTCTCACAAATGAAACTAACAAATGAAATTGATTTCTAATTCACGAAATTTGAAGGAGGTTGCAAGTTTGCCTCCCCCTCCTACAGATTTTGTTTCTCACTGCTCTGAGACCTCTTCCATTAAGGAGCATCTCCACCTGTACTTCATTCGTCTATGGTTAACCCAGGCCTCCTCCATTTATTTGCAAAGGTGCTATTAGTTCATAATGGACATGTAGCAAACCCTAGAATCTAGGAAGCTGACAATGAGAAAAATATCACGAAGGCGGCAGAGGGTGAAAGCTCTCTTATCAGTGATGGGAAGGGAGGGAAAGCAAAGCTGTGATTGCCATGCATGTGTCTGCTGAAAAAACCAACGTCAAAGCCATTTCTCTCTCCCTGGAGGAGGAAGACCATTAAAAAGAATGGCTGTGGCCGAAGGGCAGGGTGTGGGAAGGCACATAGGGAAACACTGTTTTAACACTGTAAACCTTGGTTTTCAAGACAAAGGAGAATAGGTCTGCTTCTTTCCAATCCTACCCTTTGTGCATACAGACAGGTATCTTCCATAAACCCCCAAAGGCCTGACAGATAAGAGGGGCACATATGACTGTTCCTGTACATGGGAGAATCCTTTTGACTTTAGCCATGCACAAAGTGGGGGGGGGGGGTGGCGGTCCTGATGCTGCCCCCCACACAAGGGAGGCACATGGCTGTCGCTGGACATGAAAGAATCTTAGAGCTGTTGAGGTCCTAAGCATCACACTCATTCCAGTCACAGCGAGCCCCTTCTCAGCTGTGTGTTCTGAGATCAAACATGGCTTCCCTTTTCCAACCCCCTCAGCTAAGGCTGGGCTGCATATCCTATACTGAGTAGGAGGTTGGGAAGGTGGACTTGGGAAGCAGAAATGGCACCACAGAATGTGTGTTGTTAGCACCAAGGGTATGTGGCAGGGGCAGAATGCAGAGTGGGCCCCTGAGGTTGTGAGATTGCCTGGAAGTTCACAAACCAGGTTACATCTTTCTTTTTCCCTTCCTATCACATTCCTGTATCTTTAACACAGGGAGTGGGAAAAACTGGGAAATTTGACAATCATTTACCTTGGTAGGGTATGGATAAACATGCTCAAAAACCAACTAGAAATTACTCACATGGCCCATAGGAAGTATCTGAAACCATGAAGGATTTAAAGCCATTGGCAGACATCTGAAGTCCTTCCTGATGGTAAATGGGCATGTGTGCTCACCCCTGTGTTCACATTGCTCACAGGTTCTAGACATACAATGCTTTCCATGAAGCTTGCTTACTGCTTCTGCCGCAAATACAAGGACTAGGTACGAAATGAGGGTAGAAAAGAATTGCTTTATAAACTTAGTCCCTCAGTAAAGATTTAAGAATCCGGTGCATGAACAATGCTATGAGATCATTCGAGATGATGGGGAGGGTGGGCAAATGTCTTTACTAGTCATTGACACAAACAGAGAACTTGGAAAATCCCATTTTCTGTCTTCTTTATCTGCCCATCTCTGAAATGAATATTATTAAGGATTCCAAGGGCTGCGATTCAGCTCTTATGAATGTCATTCAGATTTTCTTATGTGCCAATGGCTGGGAAAGTTTCAGAAAAGGGAACACGTTATTTAGCCCAGTGAGCAAGAGACTGAAGCTATAAAAGCTCCTCTCTGAGATCTTAACTATTTTGTCCAATTATAATCGGAGTCAGCTTTGGAGACATCACTGAGGGGGAAGAAGTCATTTTTGGCATCTTAAAGCAACCTTTGTCTCCAGCTTCAGGACTTCGGTCATTTTAGATAAATGTACATTCCATTTTCCTTTCTGACTTCTGATGCGGACATTCTTACATGCTTGAGTTTTGTTTTTTTTTTCTCTCTCTCTTTCTCTCCTTTCTTATTCCTTTCATTTGTTCTACTTGGCTCACTTCTAATCCTTTTCTTTTCCTCCATCTCTCTTTCCCTCCATCCATCAACCCGGCCCGGGCAGAGTCTCACCAAATAGCATGATGCTGGCATTGGTATGGCCCAACTTGTTGGAGGCCACACACGTGTAGTTCCCGTAGTCGTGTTCGGAGACATTGAAAAAGATCAGCCTTGAGAGGAAAGGTCTGTTTTCCACTTTGACTCCCTTCTTTCCTTCCACCAGTCTAGGCAAACAAGCAACAGAAAAGGAGGGGAGGGGGTGAAGGGAAAAAAAAAACATGGTCAATTTCTCTCATTGGATGAACTTAGAGTCTAGAATTAATCTTCACACCATCGTGATAATTATTCATTCTTCTTAACAGAACTCTATGTTGCCACAGGACTTGGGAAGAATAAGCTACCCAGAGTATCTCTAGAACCCAGTCTGGAACAATCTTCCCTGACCATGTGAGCTTCTGGAGAAGGCAACTGATGGACTGGCGGGACTCACCCATCCTCACTGAAATGCCCTTTGGTTCTGAAGGATGACATGAAGCACCGTTCACTGGGAACAGTTGCCACTGTTCCATCTCCAACTTGTCATATAGCAGTGACCCTTGTAAGGGGTGCTGTCCAAGGCTCTGCAAGCCACTGTGAGGAGGCTTCTGGGAGCTAGTATGGGCGTGGATCCCATTTCCTAGTTTGGCAGTGTCCTCCATAAGAGGAGAAGTCTTTACATCAGAACCAAGATGTGAATAGGATTTGGGTTCCATAGTGGGAAGAGGCTTGCTCAAAGCTGGTTTGTGCTTTAACAGCTCAGAAATGTCTTTAGCTAAACACAGTACAGGGTGACCATCAGAGCTTAAAGCACTTTACACTCCTGGGGTGGCACACATTCCCCTCCTTGGGCATTCAGAGATCCACCACCCTCTACTGATATAGGCCTTAAATTTCTTTCTTTTCTTTCTTTCTTTCTTTCTTTCTTTCTTTCTTTCTTTCTTTCTTCCTTCCTTCCTTTCTTTTTTTCATTTTTCCTTTCTTTCTTCTTTTCTTTTCTTTCTTTCTTTTTCTTTTTTGGTAAGATTTATTTAGTATGTATACAGAGTTTTGCCTGTAGGCCAGAAGAGGGCACTAGATCTCATTATGAGATGGTTTAAGCCATCACGTAGTTGCTGGGAACTGAACTCAGGACCTCCAGAAGGGCAACCAGTGCTCTCAGCCTCTGAGTCATCTCTTCAGTCTGGCCCCAGGTTCCTTAAGGAAGCTGGAGACCTTTCAGTGGTTACCTTCCCTGTAAGCTGGGCAGGGTTTTTTAACTGTAGAGTTCCAGCTTCTCTTCCTTTGACTGACAACAGACACAGGACAAGGAGGAGAAAGCAGCAGGAGAGTGAAGTCCCCAAAGACATCTAAAAGGATTGCCTGTCCCCATCTAAGCCTCTTCTGCTTGTTGCTGAATTCTGTTTATGTCACTGACAGTGAAATGGGCTTCAGCTGTCATTTCCTGGGGACAGGAGTCATACTCCCTCTGAGACCTGAGGCCACGGCTGCCTTGTGGCCTCCGTGGCACAAAGAAGAAAAGCTGTGTCCAGAACCACGGGGTAGACACGTTCGTGGCATGCCGATTGTTAGAAGGACAGAGAAACCTGCTCAGTGGGAAAACACTGGGAATGCATGCATGAGCAAGTGAGAAAATGGACAGAAAAATCAATGGGAAGGAGCAAAGGGGACACTATGAAAGGGTCTCAAGGAGGCCACAAAGCTGCCTGAACCGGGCTTCTGGGTCAGCACTGGGGCATCGTCTCCCTTTCTCTTCAGAGTAAATGATGACATAGATGGTGGGTCCTGCTGGGACTGGTGCTGCCCAAAACGACAGCTTTCCTTTTCTTTGCCTCAACACACATTTTTGTTGTGTTTTCTTCACACATGTTGGGAGCTCGTTTTTCTGTTACATTTTTTGAATCTATCTATCTTTTTCCTATCAAGAATTTAAATAATAGAGTACAGTGAATAAATTTTCACTAAGACTTAGTACTCAGAATCAGAGGCTAGTGTGAGTGTGTGTGTGTGTGTGTGTGTGTGTGTGTGTGTGTGTGTGTGTCTTTAGATCTTGGAACTCTAAGCCTCAGTTTCTCTTTATTACAGTAAGAAGGGTGGGAGGAAAGAAGAATTTCTGATTTCTTAAAAGAAGGGAAAGGGCTAGCTCCATTTCTTACTTCAGTGGGTCTGTTCACCTCTTTCTGCCTCAGGTCTTCCATGTATAAAATGGTGGCTGCCTATACCACACCTTACTAAGGCTGCCAGCATGTGTGTTCTAGAAATCCAAAGAGTGGCCCTCACTGGATGTGGATTTTAAGATGAAGTGACTGCGTTCTCAAAACAACTTAGTTTATTGGAAGAGGAGCTAGAAGACACTTAAGGCCTTGGAGGCTGCATGAGGAAAGAAGAAAGAAGCCCCTGCAGTACGACTCGCTCTGCTAGGACGTCCCCACTGCCCTTCTCAGACTCTCCTTGTGGTCTTCCATACTTAGTCTCTTCCACTCTTTGCTCATCTACCCTCAGATCTCGCGGGACTTTGTCCTTCCTCCAACACCGCCACCTCTACTTTTATGAAAATATTCTGAACACAGGCAGGGCTTACACATTTAGTTGTTGTTCACCCACCTTCAAATCGCTCTGTGCTAGTGGTAATTGTCATATTGTCTGGCTGCACCGAGCTGCTGACCCCTGCGCTGACATGCAATTTGATAACTCCTCGAAATGATCATCTTCACTGACTCACAGCAAATGTCCCTGTGACGGCTGCGACAAAGGAAAGGAAGGGGCCAGTCCTAACTCTTTTCTCCTACAGAGAAAGGACAACCTTCATACAAAGGGAAGGTGCAAGAGGGTCAGGGACTCATACACAGTGGCACTGAGAACCTCAGGGAGGGACGTGTAGATTTGAGCTGGCTAGGCAACTTGAGAGCCCCTCCCAGAGGCAGGTTGAATTTCTTGGGTCTGAGAAAATGCTAAAAATAGCTTTCTGCAGAACACATTATTTTCATGGCCTATAAAAAAAAACAAAACAAAACATCACGGGGTTCACAATGCTGTTGGTGGCTTTTATTTTCTGATTTTTGCCTGGCTAAATTATATTACCTTTCGGGCTCACTGGGTTGGCAAGTGATAACACTGGCGACGACACTGAAAGCCTAGCTGAACTTTCCTTAATTTAGAAGAAGCTTGCTTGCACATCGCACTCCCATTGGGTGTCAGGAGAGGATTTCCCAACATTAGATGGTGTCTATCTGCAATCAGGAGCGGGGAAGGGATGCTGATGAGGAGAGGGGGACCGAGCACCGTACCTCTTGTCATCCTTGAACCACTGGAATTCTGCTGAAGGGACTGCCGAGGCTTCACACTGCAGAGTCCCCTTCTGCCCCACAGGGACACCTGTACCCTTGGCTTCTGATATGTATGGCGGATCTGCAGAGAGAAGACGGTCCGTGCCATTTAACAATACTTTTAAAAATGAAAAAAAAAAAAACAAACCAAAGCAACAAACTGCCTCATTCATGGACTCTGTTTCCTAATCTCTGCCCTATTTCTGCTCATCTGCATCATTAAGCTGCTATCTGGACTGCTCCAGAGAACGAACACGGACTGGATGCCATTCTAAAGGAAGACATCAGCTTTTGGCACGTGTTGCCTCTCTTCTCTGTGCTGAGGTGGAGCCATGAGCTCCTGAGACACCGTGCCTGTTTAAGTTTTTTAGCATTCATAGGCTGACACCCACCCATCAGCCTTCCACTCCATGGGGTGGCAGGCAGCACCTTTAATCATCCTCACAGAATTTCCGCACACCAGGTCTCACCAAAGTGTAGGACTTCCAGCTATTCAATTCCCACCGAAGACTCCCTGATAACTAATAATATTCATGGAGAATCGCCTGAAGGATGTGCAGACCGGTCCTTCCCGTGAGCATTCTGAAATGGATCCCGTGCTCAACTACATCTCCTTGCTGGGTCTGCATTCATTTGAAGTCTTCAGTCAGCTACCTGTGGCATACCGATAGTCTGCACTGGTGGGTATTATACAAGAGTAACTCTAAAATTACTCTTCTGTTTGATGTCAGGGCACTGAGCATGATGTGTTGACTGTACCAGACAGTGGAGAGGATTTCCTCTGGGGTCACATCACCAGGAAGAGCAAGGTTTCTCCTAAGAAAATTATTTGCTTTTGCCTTGCAGATGATGTGTGTCTCAGAGTAGATGATGTTTCCTTTGCGTTAGCCTTGCGAAGGCAGATTCTGAATGAGAACCCAGCAGCCTGACCCTTTCTAGTTCATATTCTGTGGGTTGACTCCCCCTTTTACTAATTTCCACAATACACTTGTCCCTTGACTTCCACCTTTGCTTTACTTTTTAGGTTCATGGTCAACAATTGTAAATACTCTTAAGTTCCCTTAAAAGTAGAGTTTAAATAATAGGAAAACAAGGCAGTACTGCTTGACCTTTGTGCCTTAAGTGTTTCCTATCACCGAGGGTCAAGCCAGAGCACAAATCAAAGCAACAGAGATGGAATATTAATCTACACACAGCATCCTTGCCCTCCCCCACCCTGCCCATGTTGGAGGGGAGGGCTTCTGTGACGCTGGTCTAGGTCTTGGGTTACATTCTGTGACAAGCAAAAACCTTCCGCAAGTCATAGGGAGCCAAGTCAATGCACATAACATGGAGTCCAGAGAGAAAAGGGGAGGAATTGGTAGCAAATTCATGAGGATCAATGTCGGGGAGAATTCAGAAGGTTGGTCAAAGGAGAATGAAGTTTTCGCAGCACTGGCCTTCAAATGTTTTGAATTGTGTGCCTATTAGTTAAAAATAAAAATTTGAGATATACCTCTGAAAAACCTGCATTTGTGCATGCTAGTGTTTAAATTATGTATGTAATTAGTGCTCTATGTTCATCACCATCTTGATCACAAAAGACTGAGACACAAACACACTCCACACGCAGGGGTAGTATTTGTCTCAGCTCAGGCATCTCTGCCCCAATGGAAGTTTCTGACTGGGAAATCTCTCACTGCATCACATGAATGAATTACAGGAAAAGTTTGAATTTTGAAATACATGTATATGAAGCAGGTATCTAATATTGTTTATTGATTTGCTGATCATGTATGAGACTTTGATGTTATATGCTATATGATGTCAATTGCTTTCAAACAGAAAGGGGCACTGGGCCTGTGGAACAAAAGAAAAGAAAACATGACTTTGGCCTCTTAGCTTTTGAGAGTAGAGGCCAGAGAGTGGTGCTGGGTCTTTTCTGCCACTCTGAAGGCTGGCTTATTGCTGCAGGCTTGATAAGAGACCAGTCTCACGCACTCATAGGGCCGGGGCTGGCAGGGCCACTTACAGTTCACGGTGACCTTCACTCTCCGTACCACGGGTGCAGCCACGTCGTTGGAGGCGCTGCATTCATAGTCCCCCGACTGCTCCCGAGTGATGCCCTGAATTTCCAGGTACTCGTCTTCACTCACAAAGCCGACGGCTGCAAGAGAAAGAGTGGGGCAGAATAAACTGACTGCAGAAGACCAAAGACACCCATTAGAAGACAAAGTAAAGGGACTGGGGATTTAACTCAGTGGTAGAGCACTTGCCTATGTCTGGGCTCAGTCCTCTGCTCCAGGGTAAAGGGTGAGGGGTGAGGGCAGAGGGGTGGAGAGGGAGGAAGAGAAGAGAAAGTTTGAACTGGTTACCTCTGGAGAACTGTCCCTTTGTCAGTGCAGATTCTTAGGAACTCCACAGAGCCTTTCTTCCCTATTTCTGCCGCCCCCTCCCCACACCCTCTTTTCCTTGGCTCCCCAGTGTTCTAGCTGCAGTGTTTGTGCTCCCTCTGAACTCATGTATGGAGAGAATTAACTGGTTCTCCATAAGTGATTAATAATTTTGACATTTACACTGCTGGGATCTTACCACATGGTTCAGCTCTGGGACTGGAGCCGGCACCTTAACTCTTTCTGACCTCCAGACACCATTTAAAGTGAGCCTCAGATGCTGAGCTTCCTGATACAATCCCGGGCATAAGTCATTTGAGGATACTGCATAATGGTTACACACACACACATGCACACGTATGTACACACACACACACACACATACACTCACACATACACTCCATGAGACACACCAGAAGTTAAACACATAAATGAAACACCTTTGTTTTTATATTAAGCAAAGAAACAGCAGATACCAGTTTTTTAGACACCGATCTCCTGGAACTCTTAGGCAGAAAACTCAAAAGAACAAACCAATATGGAGACCACACATGTGATGTCAAGGCACAAGAAGAGCAGAAAGTGAGGAGTAAGAATTCATGACTACAAATCTTTCCCTGTAACTTAAAGCATTCAGAAATTTGATTTTACATCTCCAGTGAAGCATGGTCAATAATAATGAGACCATACCCATACCACATTCCACACATGATATACAGTCATGAGCATTCAGTTATGCAAAGACTAAGCCTCCGCCCTGCCCCACTCTTTCAGACATGGTTTCCTATGCTCAAGGCTGGCCGCCGGCTCACTGAGGTGCCTAGACCTTACACACATGATCTTCTTGTCACCTCCCAATGTTAGGATGACAGATGTGTGCATCTGTCACCTTACACCAAACCTGGGTAAGCCCAAGACACTTAGGGAATCCGTTTCCAAGTTTGTCTCAAAGCTATCCTGTGCCTTAGTTTCATATAAACAAAGTTTCGCATTAAAAAAAGGAAAATGCTGTTTACACTCTGGGATTATCCTTCCTTAACTGTTTAGTGAGGGTAATGAAAATGGTAATATCCTAAAGTAAGGTGATGTAAGAAGTGAACAGCAGGGGGCACTGTTACTAATTCTGGGACAAGGAACTGAATTGGGAATATCCCTAGAATAGGAGACTCACCTTTCTAGGTGTAACTCACAAAGCAGGCCTGATATCTCACGGTTACTGAGAGCAACCAATAGAACACAGCACACAGAAAAGCACTTGGAAGCCCCCATGTACTCCCCACTTGGTAATGTAGCTAATCCTGAAAGCTTTAGGGAAGCACAGCGGGAGGTGGGATGAAGCTGCATTCATGTGCACAGACCCAGAAAACAGAGACTTTTGGATGCAGGTCATAAAATCCCTCCATAATGTCACATGTTTCTGCTAACCCAGAACGTGAAACCAAGGGCTAAGAAATGAACATAATACAAAGAAGGGTGTGCACGGCCTGTAAACTGTAGCCATACATGACAGTGCTGTCTTTATTCTTGTCATGGCAACGGTAATAATAGCCATAGCAACAACAATAATAGAAAAATAAACACACCCCATCGTCTTGCAAAAAAAAAAAAAAAGCCATTACTGTCTACTCAATTGCAATTTATAGCCATGCCTGGGGGCAGGCTTTGAGATCCCTTTTGCTCAAGCTTCCCTCTGTGTGACTGTCAGTCAACTTCCTGTTGATGTAGGATCCTGCAAGATGTAGGACTCTCAGCTCCAACCCCATGTCTGCCTGAATGCCACCATGCTCACCACTATGATGATAATGGACTGAACCTCTGAAGCTGTAAGCAAGCCACCCCAATTAAATGTTTTCTTTATGAGAGTTGTATGCTGTTTCCTCATGACAATAAAACCCTAAAACACCGAGTTTGTGCAACCATCCAGTAATACTCTACTGACCCAGAACACTCATTTACACATATCTAGGCTTATGGAATCTGTACTGCGTGGGTACCAACATTTTCTTCTTTCTTTTCCCTTTGAAGGAGAAAAGAAGTGCTAACATCTCTTTAAAAAACATGAAAAACATTTGATTGGCATGAAGAAGCAAGGGTATGCCGATTAAGTAGGAAACAGGGCTCACATCCCAGCACAGAAGATCATCAGTTTGAATCCATTAGAGACTCACCGTTTCAATAAAAAACTTTTGTGCCGGGATTATTGTTTTAGGTTAACTCACTCATGAGAACCTTGGTTTGAGGAAGGATAGAGGAAGTGAGAAGGGATTTTAGCGAAGACATTGTGATTTCTCTTATGTGGCTGTTGTTTATTTACCACCAACTGCAGGCCAACGTTTGTCAGATCTTTCCGCACTAGAATGCTATAATTACCGTGCAAAGCATCTCAGAGACCAGTGTCACACTTAATATTCCCATTAATTTTAAATGGTAGTCCTTGGTACATATGTGTGGCAATTGGTGTCATATTTTAATTAGGCTTGCCCTACACCATCTGAAATTAATAATAGCTCGAATTACCAGTGTAATTTATAAATTAACAGTGCCTCAGCATTAGGAAATAAATTAGCTTTGGACAGCTGTTTCTGGATTGAGCTCCAGTGTCATTGCCATGATTGGTGGGACCTCGGGATTTTAAGGCCAGGTAGTATACCACCAAGACAGAGGATCAAGAAGATGGTGGGTTCTTTGGCGGCATTTACTTTCTTTAATTTAAGTCCTTGTTTTTTGATCTGGATCTACGATTCAGATGTACGTGACATGATGAAACCGAGATTTGTAGAAGCAGAACTCTGATTAACTTACTCTGTAGAAATCCGAAAGGAAGAACATTTGGGAGGAGTACAGTCATATGCTGAAATGCAAGCTGGCAAATGGTCACTGACATCAAAATCTCATCAAGTATTCTGCAAGAACGTGGGGGTATGGGTGACCATGAAAATTCATCTCTTCTTGCCAGGTGGTGTATAAGGAAGGAAGCAGATGGTTTAGGATTTGGGGGAGGCATATTCTTTTTACTGATCCAAATATTTAGTATACGTAAGTCATACAAAAGCCAATGAGACTTTATTTTACCACCATACATTCTCAGACAAAGTGAGAAGAACCATGAAGAACCCACATACTTTCGCTGCCTCCCGGTATATACATTTTCTGATGATGGTAAACGAGGTCAGTGAAAAGGAGCTCATAGGTGGAGGGGAGCTTTATAAATGCTACTGATCACTGTTCCCACCTTTCTCATAGTAGGAAGATTTCTTTACTAAGGGTCTAAATGGAAAAAATGGGAAGAAAGATCTCACACACACACACACACACACACACGCACACGCACACGCACACGCCCACGCCCACGCACACACAGTGAGCTAAGCTCGTTAGCACCAGAACGTATGTCCCTATTGGTACCACTTATGACAAACAAGTGAACAGAACACACTAAACCAAAATACAAAGTTTTAGCTTTTTTTTTAAAAAAAATCAAGGTTTATTATCATAGCCATTTACACTCTGGCTGTGAACTGATTGGTGATTTATCGCTAGCATGAGCATAAAGAACTTAGAAAGAATATAGGAGGGGAGAAAAACAGAAACAATTTAACTGAGCACACTTTCTAAATTGCTGCAGGCTTTTTAAGGCGGAAAGTGGCAAACCGCTTGATAAAAGCCAGTGCAAAGAGTCTCTTCATGATCAATAGCTACTTATCTATAAGTTGGCTTTCTCTTCTAGGGAAAATGCATCTTTGGTTGAAAATGACATTCATCATCCTAAAATATTTCCCTCTCCATGGCTCAACTCATCAGACACCACAAGTGGATCCCTGTTTGCTTTAACATCGTGCCTACGCCTGAGCCTTAATACAGAAGCTTCCCCTCCGTGGAAGGTGCCCACCACACACCAGGGTTTGTCTTGCGTTGGGGCGGAGAAGAAGGTGACAGACCACCTTTGTAAAGAGCAGAAGTTTAGATTCACACAAAACCAATTCTCTTCCATCTGGATTCACGATGTGATGAGTCCACTAACTTCTCTGCACTCCTGGTTCTTCTTCTGAACAATTCTGAATAATCCCATGCACTTCCAGTGCTGTTGGCAGAGGCAGTTGCTATGGGGACTGTGGGAGGCCGGGGATAAGTCCTCGATAGGTACCAGTCCCTCTAATCATTGCTATCATCCATCCCCTAATGCTACCATGACTCTTAAAATTTTATTTCAATTTATTTTAATAGTCTGTGGATGAGGGGAGTATGTGCATATGCAAATGCTGGTGCCCACAGAGTCCACAAGAGTGTGTCAGATTCACTGAAGCTGGGGTTCCATGTGCTGGTGAACCAACACACGTGCTGGGAACTGTAATTGGGTCCTTTGTGAGAGGAGTACATGCTCTTAATGGCTGAGCCATCTCTCCAGACCTCCAGAGCAAAACAGCACTTTTATTAAAGATGTGGTGTGTGTGTGTGTGTGTGTGTGTGTGTGTGTGTGAGAGAGAGAGAGAGAGAGAGAGAGAGAGAGAGAAAGAGAGAGAGATCTGAGTGGGGGCTTGTGTTCATGTGTGCTCTGTACACGTGTGTAGAGGTCAGAAGCTGATGGCAGACATCAGACATCCTCCGCCATCACATAATCACTTTACGTATTGTGACTGGGTCTCTGGATAACACCTGAGTTTGCAGATCCCAGCTGCTCTCGCTAGCCATCTGGCTTCAGGGATCCCTTTCCTCGGCCTACCACACTTGCCAAGATTTTATGTGGGTGTTCGAGCTCCAAACTCCATTCCTCATG